GTCTGCAAATGATTTATAATGTTTGATTAATTAGATAATAGAAATCGTATGACATGATAAGAAAAATTAATGCAAAATATTTACTTCCACAAAAACCACTGGCACTGCAACATGGTAATGTTTCGGGGCAGTCATGACCACCCTGTTAAATAAATATATTAGTGTAAGATAATAAAAAAGAATAATTTATGAATAAAGAAAATTATTTACAAAGTTTGGACATCCTGTTGATTGTGGAAGGGGTCCAACCGACTTTATGGCGACTACGATTGTGAAATATAAAGGAAATCGTTATCATGACATTTCTTTACCACATGTACAGTATATAAAATCAAATTCGTACATACAAAAACTTGAAAACCCCAAATGATCAGGGTTCTTTCCGACAATAATAGCAAAATCACGTCTCGAAGGAAGATCACCGATAGTATAATTACATTGACCGACTTTTGGATCAATATTTGAGCATAAAACCATATCTAGTTGTAAGTTCTGTGGATCTCCATGTGTTAATTTTACATCAATACTTGTATCTGTTTTTGAGATGACAGACCATAATACACAAAGTATATCGCCTTTGTTTAATACCACTCCTGCAGCTGGTGAACTAACTGAATAGTCCGCTGTGCAGAAAGTTATAAAGGCTGTTAGGAGGAAAAAAGAGGATGCAAGAAATGAACGCATTTTGTTTTAAACAGGTTTATTTGAAATGAATATTTAATAGTAAAAAGTAAAAGTGAAATACTGAAAAAAAATTGAACATTTTTACGTATGTATTTCATGCCTATGTATTTATGCTCATTCTATCTAACCACAACAACGGTTCAAATATATGTTTTCTCATTTGATTCATGTCATTCTTTGTATATTATGCAAATTTATGACAGTGCAGATAGCATATTCGGTTTTGGTTAATAAAGCTTTTCATATATTTCATACATGAATATTATTAATGCCGCAGCCGATACAGGGATCGGCACGAACCTAAAGATCATCAATTTTAATCGGCATAATTTTTTTTTATCATTCTAATTGTGATCATTTGGTATCAAGTGAAATACCAAAGTATTGCAAAAGTTATTGATCGCCTAAAAAATTTGAAAGCTTTTCTAAGGAAAAAAGTGATTGCAATGTGGAATATGAGAAAGAAATTTTATTACAAAGGGAAATTCTATACTTTCAAGCGTGAGTTGAATATTAGTGAAGCAAATTCTAGCAATTGAACATTTGTCAACATTTTGAATCAGGCTTTAAGAAATCGGCCAATGGTTAACGATTTAAAATATTAAAAAAAAACATGAGACAAAAATACATTTTATTGATAATAATATCGTGTACGAGTACAAATAATGTGAACAAATAATTTGTGAGATCTCCAATGCATTATTAAATTGTGCATATTTTTTAAAGATTGAATAAATATAATACGACAGGGTGAAACCCCCGCAGAAATAGTTAATTATCGATGCAGATCCTATCTAAAATAGTAACTAACTCTAATTAAGTATAGATCTGCATCAAGAATAAAGAAATAAATCACTTCTGCGCCTTTCATAATATAATTTATACCGGGGATATTGATATCCAGGGTGGTATATCTCAAAAAATTGACTA